CAACAATATTTGTAATATGTGACCCTGGACCAAAAAAACAGTCATAAGGGTACATTTTTAATAGGACAATATTTGGCCGAGATACAACTATTTGAAAATCTGGAATCTGAGGGTGCAAAAAAATCTAAATATTGAGAAAATCATCTTTAAAGTTGTTCAAATGAAGTTCTTAGCAATGCATATTACTAATCAAAAAATAAGTTTTGATATATTTACGGTAGGAAAATTACTAAAAATCTTCATGGAACATGATCTTTACTAAATATCCTAATGATTTTTGGCGTAAAAGAAAAATCTATAATTTTGACCCATACAATGTATTGTTGGCTATTGCTACAAATATACCCCAGCGACTTAAGACTGATTTTGTGCTCCAGGCTCACATGTGTGAAGTAATCAGAGCTGGGTAGATTACTTCCAAATTGTAAACTGTTACTGATTCCAAATGACATGACAAAAATTGTAGTTAGTAATTACAATCTGTCCAAAGGCCGGAGACGTGGACACCGAGCCACAACTGACACACCAGGCCAATATTACAATGTGTGCTGCCATTTCAGAGACTGGTGTGAGCACACATATTCCACACAGTGGGCCCTATAATACCCAACGTCTCCTGGCCTTCCTAAACACACTTTACACAGACCTGATTCCAGAACAAGAAAGAGGTTTTGGGTGAGTAACTACATTTAGCAGACATGCAATAAAGTTCTGAAGTTCCAGCAAGCAGTTGTGACATTATTGAATAACTGATGAGTCATAACTCAAATAAAAATTAATGCATTCATCAGTAGTTGATGCGGTGCTGAAAGGATTTGTGTAAATGCTGTGTAGCACCTGACTACTGATTGATCTCTGTGTGAATGTCCACAGAACCGGAGACTTTCTGAGTGTTTATAAGCATTTTACAAAATAAAATTGAAATGATAAAGAGGAATTATTTCTGAATTCTGAATAAATTATTGCTACTGTGTAAATAATATGCAATCATGTAATCCATAAAAAGTAACCATAGTATGATTACGTATTTTAAAATGTAGTTTAATCTAATTAGTTACAAGTACTTAATTTTTGGTATATATATATATATATATATATATTAATAAATGATAAATATATGTTGTAAACGGTGAAGGTCATTGAAATATATTTTTGAAGTAAAAAATATATTTAGTTTCAGCCTTCATATACCAAAATATACATCAAAATGTATTTTGGGGCAAGAAAATATATGTCTTACAATAGCACACATTTAGGCTAAATGCAAATGTGGATGGAATAGCCACATCAAAACAATGGTTTAGTGCTGTGTCATTTTGTATCATGTTTGTGAAACATTGTACATTTGCTCTGTGGGGGTCACTGTAACACTGTATCCTTCATAACGAGCCGCGTCTGCGGTTTCTGTACGCGATGCTGCGTCGCTCTTAACGTCACTGAAACTCGGTGAAGCGGAAACGATAACACAGACACCGACAGATGCGGGACGGGTCAACAAGCGATCGATCGATCGGCGCGAATAAACGAACCGGAGAGTCACCGACAGACGCGCGGATGCGGAGCCGCTGGACCAGCGGGGGGCGTGGCCAGGAGAGAGGAGAGAGACGCGATTGGCTGGAGAGCTGCAGATGGAGGCGGGGTTTCGGAGCTTCTGTTCCGCAGGAGATTGGGGGGGTATTACCGGGTGCGCGTGCGCTCAGCGCGTTTTTACCGCAGTGTCTCTGGATTAGTGCGCGGCGCTGCGGCACTCCGCTCGGGTCTAAACGGGAAGAGCGAGAAAAAGCGACCGGGCCGCGTCCGTGAGCACCAGCCGTTCCATCGCGCGTATTCCCAGCGGTTATCAAAGCGGCGCGCACCGGAGACATGGCCAAAGACGACGAGAAGAAGGAATCCGGGGAATGGAAGGAATTCTTCTGGAACCCGCGGACGCACGAGCTGCTCGGGAGAACGGCGAGCAGCTGGGGTGAGTGTGCCTTATGTAAGGCGCTCGATTTAACGGCGGCGCGTGATTCCGGTGCGTTCATTCATTTTAACCGGAACGCATTGCGCAATGCGTCTCTCTCTCTCTCTCTATCTCTCTCTCTGTGTGTGTGTGTGTGTGTGTGTGTGAGAGAGAGAGAGAGAGAGTGTGTGTGTGTGTGCATCAGGCCCTAATGGTTAAAGGACAATCTGACGATGCTGCTGCTGTTAAAGGTGAACGGGTGCAGAGAGCTGAACGAGGTTGCGGTGTTTGCGCGCGTCTCGCTCGTTGAGATCGTTTAACGGATCGCGAACGCGCATCCGATCGTTCCGATCAAAATGATCGATCGCACGGGAGCGCGCAAGGTTATTCGGTGTGTCCTCCGCGCGCGCGCTCACGTGACGTGACGTGGTTTCGCTCACATCCGGAGCAGCAGCATCCATCAGGAGTTATATAACCATATACAGAACACACACACACACACACACATTTCGATTTACAGTGGCTGTCACGAGCTCGGATTTGTTTGTCATTTACTATGTGTGTGTGTGTGTGTGTGTGTGTTATAGTAATGATGCATTAATGACTTTCATGCAGCTTTGTGTTCTGGTAAATTACTTTTAGCTGAGTCACCGACTTTAGCATGTGAGTGTGTGTGTGTGTGTGTGTGTCTCTGTGTGTGTGTGTGTGTCTCTGTTTGTGTGTGTGTGTGTGTGTGTGTGTGGGTCTCTGTCTCTGTATTTGTATTATTATTATTAATAAGTTTTACATTTTATATAGTGATTATAGTATGAAAGCTTCTATCTATCTGCCCACAAAGAAATACACACATGTGTGTGTGTGTGTGTGTGTGTGTGTGTGTGTGTGTGAGACCTGATATGTCTCTCATTAGCTTTCAAGATTTTTACTAATATTGTGCTGGAAGAGGGTGAAAAGAAACTACATTCATATATATATCCATATATATCCATATATTCACATACACATTCATATATATATATATAATATGATTTGTTTTTAAATTTCTCTTCAGTCTGAATCTAAAATGTCTTTTTACTGAAGAATTAACAGTGGCAGTAAAATCTCTTATTCCAGTTAAAGAAAAACACTTAAATGCAAAAGACTGTTTATAAAGATATAAGATGTGCCATATTGCTTCCAATAATATAGACCAAATACTGTATGTTAATTAATAAGAAAACTAAACCACACAAACTTAAATTAAATTAAATGTATCATTACATTTTTTTTATCAGGAAATTATCTCTAGGCTGCAATATACCTGACAATCATATTCCTTACAATATAATCATAATCATAATAATAATAATAATAATAATAATCTTTACACCATATAAAAATAATAAAATAAGGAAAAAAGGAAACATTCATTCAAAACACTTAAAAATAAGGATAATAAAAAAAAAATATATAAAAATTCAAGTAAAAGCTACCTTAAAGAAATGAGTTTCAAGGTGAGATTTAAAAATATTACGAGATTTCGCCTGAAATATAGACCAATATGTAAATTCATCATTCGGCTCTTGAAAACCTCGATGCGAACACACTTGCCCGAAAAAGTGCGGGGGACGAATTTACGTGATATTAAAAGTGGGGGGGACACGTCCCCCGCGTAATCTACGCCCATGTATTATAAGATTTAAATATCATATTTCCTCACATTTCTGTGGATTTGGATGGAATCTGCTGCTGTAAACTGATGTAATGCTATATTTTAAAATCATAATTGAACTTAACTATATTTAGATTCATTACAAATTTTTTATTTGACCATCCAAATGCAAAACGACCAATCAAATTTTGCAAAAACAAACAGACCACATCAAAGACAGATCACAGTGTGTGTGAGAGTGTGTGTGAGTGTGTGAGTGAATGAGTGAATGAGTGTGTGTGTGTGTGGGTGTGTGTGTGTGTGAGAGAGTGTGTGTGAGTGTGTGTGTGCGTGTCATATTATGTCAGATGAGTTCACTGGCCAGGTTTCATATGTATGGCTGCATCCGATTGGCCGAAAGCATTGACATTAGCGGCTCACAGCGAATGAGAGGAGGAGACTCTAATCTGACTCCCATCCCCCACTCCACCCATCAGAGAGAGAGAGAGAGAGAGAGAGAGAGAGAGCGAGAGCAGACAAAGAGCTCAAATAGACAGAAAATAATGCTGGAAAAAAATGAAAGAGAGAGAGAGACAGCATGTAACAGAATGAGTAGAGTATGTAGAGAGAGAGAGAGAGAGAGAGAGGCAGATCGAGATGGAGAGATAGAGAGATAGAGCTGGAGGAGGCAGTGGTTTTAGTGTAAGAGGATTTACTCCTCAGTCTGTCCTGACATTTGCTCAGTGATGGACGAATGAGAAACACGGATGACACGAAGATGGAGTGAATGGAGGGAATCTAGGTCACGTTCACCGCCTCGGTATCACACACAAACACAGACCGCTTCATCTCTGTTATGACACACAATACTGGATTCTGATTGGTCGGGTGTTTGATGATAATGTGATTCTCTACACATATCCACTAGATTAAAACAGATACATTTACATTTAGTCATTTATCCAAAGCGACTTACAAATGGGGACAATAGAAGCAATCAAAATCAGCAAAAGAGCAAAACAATTACATCAATCTTTTAATGTTGTAAAATTCATCAATATATTTATATAATGATACACAGATGAAGTACATCTAACAAAATTACATGCTAAAAACAACATATTTAACCGTTCCAAATATTATATTTCAGTCACTATATTAATTTGTTAGGCTGTTATGTTAAATAAATAGTTCATCCAAAAGTGAACATTTTCTGAAAATGTGCTCACTCTCAGTCCGTCCGAGATGTAGATGAGTTTCATGAGATGTGTCTCAGCAATGGATGCTCTGCAGTGAATGGGTGCCGTCAGAATGAGAGTCCAAACAGCTGATAAAAACATCACAATAATCCACAAGTAATCCACAGCACTCCAGTCCATCAGTGAACATCTGGAGAAGACAAAAGCTGAAACCACACACACACACACACACACACACTGACTCTGTGTGTTTCTCTAGGCATGATGATTCGGCCAAAAGGCGATCCTCTAGAAATCGTTTATAATGTGGAGAAAACAGAGAGCTGGGATTCATACATTCAGGCTTTGGACAACTTCCTTGCACGTAAGTAAAAAAAAGACAGATTTTCATAAAAAAAATACATAAAACAACATGCAATGATTTTGCAATCAGTACATTTTTGACTCACAATCACAGTCGATGTGTGCATTTTCATATGGAAGAGATGGTGCTCGCAACACCACGCTCATGGGTTCGATTCCCAGTGAATGCATGAACTGATAAAAAAATGCATGCAATGTAAGTTGCTTTAGAGGAGAGCAGCTACCAAAATGCATGAATAGAAATATAAATTTGTTACTCTGCAGTTTATCACAAAACAATGTCAAGTATCTGTGATTTAGGAATAATTCCGTTATAAATAAACATTGATTTACTCACCCTCATGTCGTTCCATGACTTTCCTTCATCCGTAGAACTGAAAATGTGAATTTCTGGATAATCTTCTTACCATCTTATCCATACAACATCTGTTCCTAAAAATCCTAAAAGGACAATAATCACCATATAAATATCATAACAGTGTATAATTCTACAGGCCAGTGCTCTTTATTATAGTTTCATTAATATTTTTATATAGATTTAAATTTTTATATGTTCAGTTTTCATTTTAATTTCAGTTTAATCATTAGTGATTTTCTTATGAGTCATTTTTAGCAGTTTTTTTTTCCTTTTAAACATTACTATATTTAGGTTTATTTTATTTTTTATAGATTAAGTTTTAGTTTTTATTTCCAGTTTGCAGAAATGGCAGGTAAATTAAATAAACATAACATTTTGAAGTAAAAAGACTGAAACAGAATTTTCTTGTAAAACGCACTCCAATAATCTTTGTTTACAACTTTGAAAAATGTTTTTTTTACAGTCTAGTTGTCGAGGCAACATTTCCTATTTCTATTATAGTCAACTAAATCTAAAACCATAAAAATAGATTTCCATTACTTGATAGAAAAAGTTAACTGAAATAAAATAAAATTAAACTTATTTTATTTCAGCTAATTGCAAAATTTTTCATTTTCATGAAATATAAAATTAATAATTACTAAAACTTTAACTAATATTGACATGAAAGCAGCAACTATAAAAATGAAATCTAATTCAAAATAACAAAAACTACAACAGTATCTCAATGATACTAAAATAACACAGATTTTCATTTTTAATGTAATATTTATATTTCAGCTTTATTTCAGCTTACAAACATGTTTTAACTCTTTCCCCACCAGCGTTATTGAAAAAGTTGCCAGCCACCGCCAGCGTTTTTGCTGATTTTCACTCAAATTTCATGGCCGCCAGAATATTTTGCCGTATGAATATCTGAACATGCAATACATCAAAATAAAGATCAGACCTTCTACTTTCAAACAAAACAATCAGTTTTATTCTAGCTTCAAGCATTGTTTTTTATCAACACTTGAATGTAGGTAGGTTTCATAAAAAAAGCAACATTTTGAGCAAAAAGCTGAGAAAATCACATTTTTATCAAGTACCGCATCTAAATCATATTCAGTAATATTATCAAAGCAAAGCTGCAGTAGATGGCTTGCATCAGTACTCCCAAAGCTTCACAGTCCTTTCTGGATCCACATTTCACTCGGGAACATTAGTCAGTTTTCATTTATATATGCGGTTATTGTTGATGATCGCATTATTTTTCATATGCATATGCTTACATATGAGATCGCTGGTTTCTGCGTCTTCATCACCTGTGTTTTTGATCGAGTTTCTAGACTCATTCAGGAGATGCGTGATAGCGCCCCCTAGCGTGAATACACTGAAACCCGGAAAATTCCATGTTTGGCGGGGAAAGAGTTAACAGCTTCCTCAGGAGGAGGATCATATGCTCTGTGCTTGTGTTTTTCTGCAGCCTACAATGACTCTCAGCAGGCGATGAAGAACGGCGCTTGCGTCCCGGATCAGTACTTCATCCAGGAGGACAGCGGCGAGGTGCGCAACAATCCCAAACGCTCCTGCCAGTTCAACCGCACCATGCTGGGGAGCTGCTCCGGACTGGAGGACCGCACATACGGATACCAGGACGGAAAACCCTGCGTGCTCATCAAACTCAACCGGGTAACTGCGCTGATCACTCATAATAACAGTAATAAAGAATGTACTGAATGTTCAATGCTGGCATCTATTGATCAGCCACAGCCTGTGGAAGCTTCTTACTATGGAAGCCCGTTTCTGCAACCGAATAAATAAAACAAAATACATATTTGCATCTTTATACCTAGCAATTTTTCAAAGAATTAGGCATTTCAATTATATCTCACAATTCAGACTTTTTTGTCATAATTCAGCATTTATATCTCATAATTCTGCATTTATATCTCATAATTCTGCATTTATATCTCATAATTCTGCATTTATATCTCATAATTCTGCATTTATATCTCATAATTCTGCATTTATATCTCATAATTCTGCATTTATATCTCATAATTCAGCATTTATATCTCATAATTCAGATGTTCCCCCCTCATAATTCTGCATTTATATCTCATAATTCTGCATTTATATCTAATAATTCAGACCCCCCCCATCATAATTCTGCATTTATATCTCACTATTCAGGCTTTTCCCCTCATAATTTGGCATTTATATCATAAAAATTCAGGCTTTCCCCCTCATAATTCTGAATCTACGTATATCGCACAATTCAGACTTTAAAATTTCATAATTTGGCATTTATATTAAAAAAAAAACTAATCATAATTGGGACTTTTTATCTAGTAATTCAGACTTTGATACCTCATAATTTGGCATTTATATCATAAAAATTCAGGCTTTTTTCCTTAGAATTCTGCATTAATGTCTCATAATTCTATATTTCCATCTCATAATTCAACATTTATATCTAATAATTCAGACTTTTTCCTCATAATTTGGCATTTATATCTCATAATTCAGACTTTTTTCTCTGAATTCTGAGTTTACATCTTGCAATTCCATGTTTATATCTTGTAATTCTAAGAAAAAAGTCAAAATGAGAGATATAAACTAGTGAGAATTATGATCTGAAAAGTCACAATTACATTTGTATTCCTGTCCACGGCAGAAACAAGCTTCCGTAAATAACAAGCTCTTCTGTGCTGGTCCTCTTTGGACAGTTTGAGTTAAAATTTGAAGCGGTTTAGAAATGCATAAACATAGAATTTAAATGCTAGTATTAGCATTAATATAGAATTAAATCATGCTAGTATTTTAATAACAGTACTTCACTACTGTACTTCAGTAATATTTTGTGCAATCTGCACTTTACTTGAGTTCTGTCAAAATGGACAGAAACATTTTTTTCCAAATGTTTTCGGTTTTTGAAAACTAGGATACAGCCAATAATACAAACACAAATTTGAGCTGCAAATAGCATCAGAAATCATTAGCTAGACCAGATCAGTTACAGTACCTTTGGTCTGAAAGCTGAATGAAGATGATGAAGGTGCTTCGTTTACTCCTGCAGGTGATTGGGCTGAAGCCAAGTAATGATGAAAAGTCTCCATTCGTCTCCTGTTCAGCAAAAGTGAGTAAGATCTTACCTGACCTTCAGCCAACCCTCATCACTAACAGCCAGTCAAGCATGAATACCATCTGTAATGTTTGTTCATTGCATCCCTCCATACTCAGGGATATAAAGATGGAGACGAGTTGGTAAGAAATAGACTAGTCTGCACACTTAGCATCCCTAACCTTAGACTAGTGCACATCTTAAACTAGTACAGTACAGCCCTAACTAGTGCTTAACTCTCATGCATTCTGTGGTTAGTAGACATGTAGTGTTGCATCACTTCTAAAAGATCAACGTGATCAATCTCATCATGTCTTCTGTCTCTGATTGATAGTTTAGAGTGTTTTATCCAGTAAAAGCTCTTTTAGTGTAATTGTAGAAACGTCCAGCTTCAGCTGGAGCTTCTCGTGTCAAATCTTGACTGATTTTTATCAAGTAAGCATCAGAATAACTGCAGTAATATCTCCAGATGAACACTTGCTGGACTGAAGCAGCTCAGCTTTACTTGATTCTCCATCAATCATGTTTTAGAGTCTCAAATCTGATCCTCAGGATCTTTTGAGGAGCGTTTGTTTCCAGAAGCTTTACTTTCACTGTTCCTCAGCGGAGGAATGATCTTCACAAGCCTCCAGAACATCTCACATCTTCTGAGGAGCCTTTATTTCTAGACCGTTATAGAGCGACCACTGATATTTAGATCATTTTATGTCAGTATCTGCTCTACTGTTATAAAGATCTCATTGATTTACATCACAAGGCTCAGAAGATGGCTCAGACGAACGAAACCAATGCTGAAGTTGAATACTTCCCTCAAAACGGAACCTTCAACCTCATGTACTATCCATACTACGGCAAGAGAGCACAGGCAAGAACACACACACACACTCTCACTCACTCACTCACTCACTCACACACACTCACTCACTCACTCACTCACTCACTCACTCACACACTCAGGCACGCACGCACGCACACTCGCACGCACTGTGTGATTATATCCGTGTGTAACTGCTCTCTCTGCATGTGTTTCAGGTGAATTATTCTCAGCCCCTGGTGGCTGTGAAGTTCACAGACATCTCTTTCAACACGGACTTCAACGTGGAGTGTAAGATCAAGTCTAGCACTCAGTTCAAGATCAGCGAAAGAGACAAGTTCGCCGGCCGCGTAATCTTCAAGCTGCGCATCAACAAAGCGTAGAGCAACTGCATCTGCCACACACACACACACACACTCAGGAGATGGTAGAAGTCCTTCATATCTCAAAGTGTTCAATGTATTTGTCCGTCCCCATTCTCCTGTCTACACGATGGTTTCTATGTGTGTGTGTGTGTGTGTGTGTCTTTGTATCTGTGTGTTTTCAGTACTCTTGACTGTCGTCATATCCAGCTGATACCGTTCCAAAGTGAAATCAAGAGAGCAGGAAAACATTATCAAGCCTTTCTAGATTTCTAGACACAATCATCATGAACAATCCAGTGAATTCAGAGGGACCACAATCATCCAAAACCTGCCAAGAAATTATATTATATAATGTGCTCCCAAAATATAGGAAAATAACACCATGATGTGAAGAATCTAAAACAGGCTTCATTTTCTGTATGCAAAATATAATTTCTTACCTTTTTCTTTTGATATCAAGCTAAAATGTGACCTGGATTCACTCGTTTAGTCTATATAATGGCTTTTATGTTACTGAGCGTATAACAACACAAATTAGGTCAAATCTGGTCAAATTCAGGATCATCTGTAGAAATGCGCATATATGATCAATTAACAAACAGAGCCATAAAAATCGTCACGGACTGTAATCGACTCATATCTGTCACATATCGTTCTCTTAACTTGATATCTGTTTTATCCATTTATTTATTTATGATTTAAGGTACATTTATAATGTTATTCATTTATTTATTTATTGGATTTGTGGTTTTTATTTTTTTATATACATATGACAACGTTTGTGAAGACACTTTTGTAACACTGTAATGTTCACGAATGCACACACACACACAAGCGAAGTTAAACCGAAACGTTTGGCTGACGTTCTGCACATTAGCCAATCAGCTTCAAGCTGCGCCATATCAGTTCGCCATTAATTAATTTGCCCAATCGACTGATAACATATTTCGTCCAGAACGGTTCGACCCATCTTTCTAAACGTGTACACAGCAATACCTTCTGGTCCGTGAGTGTACTGTTAATACTTGTAAATAATACAGAATCTGAGGTAGATAACGAAGAGAGTAGTTACGAAGAAAAGCGCGAAAAAAAACAAAAACCTTCAATTAAAATTAAAATTTGCCAATCCAAGTAGATGAATGAACAAATGTGTTTTCTTCCCAAAAAGTGTTTTTTAATTTATTTGTTGGTTAGCGCCCGTTAGCACAGTGGAAATATGACGCAAACATTAGCTGCATATGTTTCTCGAAACTTTAGTTCGTTTCTTCTTAGCTTTGGTAGAATCTTAGACTTTTATCATGTGATTTGACATTTGGATGTTCAGGGGGATTCGAGTCGAACGGACAAGTCAGACTCCTGAGTTGTGAGCGAGACATTAGCGTAGTGCTTATTAGCGAACCACTAGCCTGCCGTCGTCGACGCGCGGGTGGCCTGTCTGTGTTTAGTTTTTCTTTTGTGTTCCTTCATTCCGCCCCCAGTAGTGAATGTGCTGTGTTTCTATTGGGTTACTGCCACAGTGTTGTGCGTTTGAAACATTGGAGGGTGTGTGTTAGAAAAGTGTGTGGGGAAAAAAAAAAGAGCCAAACGTGGCCAAACTTTCAAATTAACGTCACTAGTCCATCCGTCGCACATCAGCACACAATTTACGGCCTGATGTTGGGATCGGTTCAATGTTTACACAGAGCGGTGGCTAATAACTAGCTAAACTTACGCTGCCCGCCGTACGTTTACTACGATCTACTTCGCGTGTGCTGCCTGACCGCTCTACGTCATAGATTTTATATGTTTTTAAGATATGGTAAATCGAATTGTTGCACATTATTTCCGATTTCTGTACTTTAGACACTGCAGCGATGCGTATTAGCATGTCGCCACCGCGAGTGTAGATCACGCACATTATTCATTTCCGTAAGACGAAAAACCAAGCAGACAGGAATTTGGGACATCGTTACCATGGAAACAGCACATGAAGTCATCAGTGATCTCACTTGTTAAGTCATGGTCATGTGGTCACGTTGCTCGGCGCAATTTTGCAGGCGAAATCCAGCCATCTCAATAGTAACACAGAGTTTCGCATAAGGCAGAATAAATTTCCTGCGCTGACCAACAGAAAGCGATGGAAGCCTATTCCCACCATGTAAAAAAAAAAATCTAGTTTAGGTCATATGAGATGAAATTGTGACTTTAAGTGTGGTAATCATGAATTTAATAGTTTTAAATTGAGATAAATAATTGAAATTTTAGAAATTGAAATTATGAGATTAAAAAAGTCTCAAATCAAAATAATCTCATATCTCATAATCATGATTTAGTATGTCGTAATTTCGACTTTTGAAGTCACAATTTTGGCTTTTTATATCATGACTTTTTATATCATAATGTTGATATAGTATCTCATAATTGACTTGGTATGTCAACTTTGAGTTTTAAAGTCATAATTTCAACCTTTCATCTCATAATTGTGACTTACATCAGTGTTGACTTTTTATCTCATAATTATGATTTAATATGTAAATTTTGACTTTGAAAGTCATAATTATGACTGTCAATTTAGACTTTTTATCTCATAATTATGATTGTTTACGTGATAATTATGACTTTAAATCAGAATTTCAATTTATAAAATCTGAAACCTTTAGTCTCATAATTAGGTTTTTATCTCATAATTATGAATTGGTATATAAATTGTGACTTTTAAAGTCATAATTATGAATCACATCATAATTTCGACTTTTTATTTCATATTCGACTTAGTATGTCAATTTTGACTTTTAAAGTCATAATTTTGACATCTTATAATTATGAGTTTTCGGCATAATTATGACTAAGTCATAATTTCAATTTATAAAGTCATAAATTAAAGTTTTTATCTCATAATTACGACTATTATGACATTATGTCGATTTCGACATTTTCAACTTATAAAGTCAGAAACTTTTTGTCTCATAATTAGGTTTTTAATCTCATAATTATGAATTGGTATATAAATTGTGACTTTTAAAGTCATAATTATGACATCACATCATAATTTCGACTTTTTATCTCATATTCGACTTTGTATGTCAATTTTGACTTTTAAAGTCATAATTTTGACTTATCTTATAATTATGAGTCTTTGGCATAATTATGACTAAGTCATAATTTCAACTTATAAAGTCATAAATTCACGTTTTTATCTCATAATTATGACTAGATCATAATTATGACATTGTCCATTTTGACATTTTATCTCATAATTATGATTGTTTATGTGATAATTATGACTTTAAATCAGAATGTCAACTTATAAAGTCAGAAACCTTTTGTCTCATAATTAGGTTTTTATCTCATAATTATGAATTGGTATATAAATTGTGACTTTTAAAGTCATAATTATGAATCACATCATAATTTCGACTTTTTATCTCATATTCGACTTAGTATGTGAATTTTGACTTTTAAAGTCATAATTTTGACTTCTCATCTTATAATTATGAGTCTTCGGCATGATTATGACTAAGTCATAATTTCAACTTATAAAGTCATAAATTCACGTTTTTATCTCATAATTATGACTATGTCATAATTCCAACTTTTTATCTCATAATTATGATTTACAAAGCATGATTTGTTTTTCTTACATGGAAGAAATGGGCTTCCATAAAAAGCTAACTGGTTTTTAAGTGACTGGTGTTTTTTGCCTGCGAAATTTCACAAATGTGACCGCACATTTACAGCTTCAATAACGCCTACACGCTTTTGGACAATATCAATGATGACACAGCGACAAACACGTGCTTACACAAACAATGGCAACGGCAAACACACCTGCGCTACAAGAACCTCATTCGAGAGCTTTCCACTCACACACACACACACACTCTTTGTCCCCGTCTGTGTTTCTCTCCAGACCAATAACGCGACACGCTCGTCACTTTGAGTTCTCGCCGGATGACTTCTATAGCTCACAGACTCATCCCGGTTTCTCATCTGTCCTTCATAGTGAGACGGTGTCTTATTCTTTCTTCACTCTCTGTAAAAACACTGCTCAGAAACTAGATGTATCTTATTAAATATCCTGAATATACTGTTATATATTGCCTGACATGAAAATTGTGAAACTTATATTCGAAAAACAAATGATTATCATTATAAATGAAAAATGGAAACAGGAAATAAAAACATTTTGTGTTTAACAAACGTTTTTGCCTACGAGGTCTTATTTCAAACTAAATGCAAAATTGCAATGACTACAGATGAACACAAACATTATACATACATATATTTTATGCATTGCAATATGAAGCAGTAATATGAAATTATGACGAGATATGAAGAACATGAATGCAATTTTATTTTATTTTTTTTACAAAAACAAATGTATATGAATGATGTACGTACCGAGAGCTTTATCATCTTATGTAACGAGATTTTGACAAAAGCTCCGGCAGCTGTAATTCCAGATCTGATCCTAAAAACTGTTTAAAATCTCAATTGTTTTTCTGGGATTGTTGATTCTCAACTGGTTTTGCTTTAGGACTCTGATTTCACATTGGTCATCAAGTAGCGTTCAACACTGTACCAAATGTGTCTGGTTTATTAAACATCACTTGAATTTAGTTTCTAGCACATGAATTTGTGCTGAACTAGTGGAGGAGGGTTTGCTTGGAAACACAACCTTTGGCATCAGCCACAGAAGATACGGGAAGTGTTTCCTGATAAGTCTGTTTGCTTTACTAGTTGCGTGTTCTCGTTTGCATTCATCATGGTTTCAGATCAGACCTGTGGCACATTTATTGGTCATGACCCACCAGTTGAGAAACACTGAGATTAAGTGGAGACTTTTGCTCCTGCTTTACAGATTTTCCCTTGAGAAAAACATCCCAATAGAAGAAACAATCCAGTTCCAGAAGAGATCTGAACAGCGGCTCAAACTGTGCTCAGATTCGACAAGATACTAAAGTCTGTAAACTGAAACATTTCTCATCAAATTCCACCCAGATTAAATGATCTGAGCTGCTTTAAACATCCATTTTATTGCTTTATACTCTTACTGCATGACAAATAATGACATAAATGTGTCTGTTTTGCATTTATCCTACAAGGCATTTTTAGGAGAAACATCTGAAAGTTGCTACATTTACAGAGCTTTGAAAGAGCAACCCGTAACATTGTTTCATTTGAGTATTTTAATGTCTTACACTGTTTGAGCAACAAACACGGATGATTTTGTGTAGTAATGTCTTTGTTCCTTAGAATGTAAGCGTTTGTATAAATGTATTGGTCAAATGTGTAAAGATCTATTAATGAGATTTCCCTGATAACCTGCTCATAAATAATTTAACAAAACTAGGACCACAGCGACATCTAGTGTACAAATGAGAGACGAGAACATTTCACCTGCTGGACCAGAAGAACACTCAGACTCTTTTTTTACACCAGACAGGAAGAAAACGCCTAGCAACCGCATAGCAACGTGATAAAAGACACTGGGAGGAGCCTAGCAACCAGTGCAAGGGCCAAAATCACTCAATATTTCCCATAAGAATATATAGAAATTAGTGCTGGTCGACGATTAATTGCATCCAAATTAAACGTTTTTCTTTATATATGTGTGTGTACTGTGTATATTTATTATGTATAAATAAATACACACACATGCATGTATATATTTAAGAAAAACATGTAGTTTATATATTAAATATATTTATATATAATATAAATGCTATGAATATAAATAAATACATGTACATATTTTCAAACTATATACTGTATGTGTGTGTATATTTATATATACATAATAAATATACGCTGTATTATATAAACAAAAACTTTTATTTTGGACGCAATTAATCAATCATTGCCCAGCACTAATAAAAATGTAAAAACATAACAGAATCACACATATCATAAACAAGCCACATTTTATATATTAGGATACATAATACCCACTTTATTTTGCAACACGGAATTAAGCGATTTTCTGTGAATGTGCGAGACTTCCGGTCCGTTAGCCGCTATAAGGAGAATAACAGTGCAGTTAACGGTAAAACTATCTGCACTGCAGTGCAAACCAGCATTTTCACGAATATGATAATAAATTAATATAATATAATAACAAAATGCCAGTTTGCAATATCAAGCACGAGCTGTTTTCTAGGCTACAGGTAAAATAACTGAGACGGGTGTTCTGTCGATTTGTGTCTGTGAAAACCCTGTCAGATTTTGCTACCTCCCATTAAAAAAAGTAGGTAGTACAAATTATGGTTTATTAACGTCTACACCTACCCCTTACAGTAATGCAAATACAGTAATTATCGTTGTTCAGCATGAGAAAAATGACGCAATATTGATGTGCGCATGCGCAGTAATCCCTGGAAAGAAAATCTGGCAGCTAGGATAAAATGTCAGGACCAAGCGGCAACCTCCCGCTCTCTCTCGTGAAACCAACACGGAAGTGACTAAAACTGTAATTCATCAACTGGCCGCTAGAGGCTGGCTGCAAAAGGGAGTCAGTCCCATAGACTCCCCATGTTAAAATGCCCAACTTTACAGCAGAAAAAAACATGTTTACAGCC